ATGTCTCGTAACATCGCTCGTTACCCTGATACTGGTTGCGACGTCAACGAAGTGGACGGAAGAAAACAGCAACATCAGCAGAAATGGTTTGAAAAGTAAAGAAGTGATTTGATCGAAACCCGCGTCGCAGTGGCCGAAACATGGCTCATGGGTTGAACATATCGCTATATTCCATTCGGAAAATATTGAAAAATGAGCTCGGGGTAAAGCCAAGAACTAACAGCGCAACAGAAAGAAAATAGACTCAAAAGAGCTAAAGAGTTGCTTGGCCGAAAGTGGTGAACTGCCGAATTTGGTTTCTCCGATGAGAAAACATTCGTTGTCCAGCAGTTTGTAAACAAACAAAATTACGGTGTTTACTTGCCAGCTGAAATGGTCAGCTGAAAATGTGCACCTTCGGTTGGCCACCAGAACTCAAGCGCCGCCCATGGTGATGGTGTGGACCGCCATAACAGCCGATGGTCGCTCTCCGCTCGTATTAATCGACCGTGGCATCTGAATAAATGCCTAATTATATCGCGAAAATATTCTGGAGGGTATATAAAAGCCTTGGGCACGCAAACATTTTGGCCGCAGACCTTGGACATTCCAACAGGACTCAGCACCATCGCACTCAGCACGCGCCACCCAAGAATGGTTACAAAATGAGGTTCTTCGCTTCATTTCCAGCGCACAATTGCCACCAAAATCTCCGGATACCAATGCGTTGGACTATTGTATTTTTGGAGTATTTTGGAAAGCAAGATTGGCACTAAAAAATACGAACGTGTCGATCACCTCAAGCAAGCGCTTCGCTGGGAATGGGCCAAAATACCCCAGAGCAACTTTCGGCCAGCGTTTGTCGGGTTTCATTGACCGTTTTAAGGCCATAATTTGTACCAAATGGTGACCAATTCAAACAAGTTTTCTTATTTCACCCTGTATAGTAGAATTTTACGACAAATAATATTGTAGAATATTTTGTGATACGACCCCGTTTGAAGGGAGTTTTTAACCATATCTTTAGAAAAACAGCAGAAAGAACCATTTGTTGACTCGCTTGAGGGTTAAAATTTTCGACCAAAATATTGCTTGTATTTTTATCGGCAATATTGCCGAAGACACTATATGCTTATAATGCACGGATTACGAGTACTACTAATCCGAAAATGTCTAAAAGAGGTGATGGGGGGAGGGGAAGTTGCCCCTTGTATTTAGGTTACTTTGTAATATACACTTTCAAAACGCCGATACACGTGTCCTCATTTTTCATCTCTAATTTCAAAATTTAAATAGAAAACTGAATATTGTTTCACAGTGTAATCGTTGGTTTTCAAGGTTTTTTCGGTTTGGCTTCAGAATTAATAAAATACGAATTTGTTTTTAAAATTTAATTTATTTTTATGATATTTCGAATGTCGATAGTCATTTTCAGGGAGTTTAATTGAAGTTATTTCTTCTTCTTTTAAATTCTTTGGTACAGATTCTTCATTTTTTTAATACGAATTTTTCACAAAATATTTTTGGATAAGGGAAAAATAATATTTTCACGCACATGCAGGGCTATAATCATGGATTTTTAAGAATGTCTTTTTTAAGGAATAACAGAGCTAGACTCGAGTACTTTTAGGAAAATCGTTTATGGACCCACATAGTAAAAATCGTGGATATTTTTGAAGAATATTCTTTTAGAACTTCATCCTTTAAAGAAATGACCAACCTAACCCCAAAACAAAATTCTCTCACAACATCACCTTATCCAGCGCCTGATCCCATCGCTGTTATTTAACATCACCAATTCTCTTAAATGATTTTGTTGTTATATTTAAATCAACTTGTTGCTATTTTTTCAATAACAAGTTTGTTTGTTCGATTGTTTGTTGGTATCACCAACCGGCTTCTTCCTTTCTGAAAGTTGCTGTTGCAATGCTGCAACAGAAAAAACAAACATCAACAATTGAATGAGTACTACACGCATGCCTAGATGTTTGAAGCTATGGTTTTTGGCATTCTTTTCGCTTGCAAATAATATTGGGTTGCTGCGCCAAAGTCTGGTTGGTAGCCACCATCACTTGAGATTTCAGTCACCTTAACCAAATGTGCAAGTTTGTTGTTCTTCTTGTTTTTGTAACACAATCACGTTTGGAATGCAAGGTGTTTTGTAGATGTTGTTGCTGATGTTGCTGCTGTTGTTGTTGTTGCTTTGTTTCAGTGTTGACTGCTCTAAGTTAGGCATGTGCGCAATCGAGGCCCAATTTGCATGGCTATATGATAAGATGATGATGGTCGTCAAACACGATTTTGCATATCAATTTAACCCATGCAACAATGGTGGGGGTCCGTGGAGGGACAATATCAATGTCTCATGGAAGAGGAGGTTGTTCTCTCAGAGAATCTAATCAAAGAAAATCAGTAAGTCTTCTCACAGAAGAACAGTTGGTATTCTCTCATATAAAACCAGCAGCTCATAAAAGACCTGGTTGGTCTTCTTTCATATAGAAGACCGGTCGGTCTCCTTCAATAGAAGACCTGTTGGTCTTCGTCGATAGAAGACCAGTTGGTCTTCTGCTATAGAAGACCAGTTGGTCTTCTGCTATAGAAGACCAGTTGGTCTTCTGCTATAGAAGACCAGTTGGTCTTCTGCTATAGAAGACCAGTTGGTCTTCTGCTATAGAAGACCAGTTGGTCTTCTTCTATAGAAGACCCGGTTGGTCTTCTTCTATAGAAGACCCGGTTGGTCTTCTTCTATAGAAGACCAGTTGGTCTTCGTCTATAGAAGACCAGTGGGTCTTCTCTATAGAAGACCTGTTGGTCTTCGTCCATAGAAGACCAGTTGGTCTTCGTCCATAGAAGACCAGTTGGTCTTCGTCCATAGAAGACCAGTTGGTCTTCGTCCATAGAAGACCAGTTGGTCTTCTTCTATAGAAGACCCGGTTGGTCTTCTTCTATAGAAGACCCGGTTGGTCTTCTTCTATAGAAGACCCGGTTGGTCTTCTTCTATAGAAGACCCGGTTGGTCTTCTTCTATAGAAGACCCGGTTGGTCTTCTTCTATAGAAGACCGGGTTGGTTTTCTTCTATAGAAAGCCCGGTTGGTCTTCTTCTATAGAAGACCCGGTTGGTCTTCTTCTATAGAAGACCCGGTTGGTCTTCTTCTATAGAAGACCCGGTTGGTCTTCTGCTATAGAAGACCAGCAGGTCTTCTCTTCTTCTACAGAAGACCAGCAGGTCTTCTCTTCTTCTACAGAAGACCAGTTGGTCTTCTTCTACAGAAGACCAGTTGGTCTTCTTCTATAGAAGACCAGCAGGTCTTCTTTTATAGAAGACCAGCAGGTCTTCTTCTACAGAAGACCAATTGGTCTTCTTCTACAGAAGACCAATTGGTCTTCTTCTATAGAAGACCAGCAGTTCTTCTTCTACAGAAGACCAGTTGGTCTTCTTCTACAGAAGACCAGTTGGTCTTCTTCTATAGAAGACCAGCAGGTATTCTTCTATAGAAGACCAGCAGGTCTTCTTCTATAGAAGACCAGCAGGTCTTCTTCTATAGAAGATCAGTTGGTCTTCCTTTAGAGAAGGCCAGTTGCTCTTCTTTTAGAGAAGACCAGTTGGTCTTCTTCTTCTATAGAAGACCAGTTGGTCTTCTTCTTCTATAGAAGACCAGTTGGTCTTCTTCTATAGAAGACCCGTTGGTCTTCTTCTGTAGAAAACCACTCGGTCTTCTTCTATAGAAGACAACTTGGTCTTCTTCTGTAGAAAACCACTTGACCTTCTTCTATAAAAGACCACTTGGTCTTCTTCTATAGAAGACCAGTTGGTCTTCTTCTATAGAAGACCAGTTGGTCTTCTTCTTCTATAGAAGACCAGTTGGTCTTCTTCTATAGAAGACCACTTATTCGTCTTCTGTAGAAAACCAATTAATCTACTCTCATAGAAGTCCCGATGGACTTCTGTCCAAGAAGGTGTTCTTCTCTCATAGAATAGCGGGTGGTTTTCTCTCTTAGAAGACCCGAAGGTCTTCTCCCATAAAAGGCCAGTTAGTTTTCTCCCATAGAAGACCAGTCGGTCTTCTCCCATAGAAGACCTGTTGGTCTTCTCCCATAGAAGACCTGTTGGTCTTCTCTTGTACTTTCAAGGTTTCTTGATGACTTCAAATTTAAAAAAAAATTGCTTCTTTCGAGCTTTAAATATTTTCTTAAAACTGAAGACAAGACATCTGTTTAAAAGCAGCAGCAGCAGCGGCTGCGACTGTGGCATCGGCAAAAAAGAAAACCAAAATAACTCAGATTCCACCAACCACCCAATCTTACAAATTCCAACAGCAACAACAACGTCGACTACGACTTGTTTAAATCTGAGCGCTAGTAAAATAAACTTGAATTTCAAATGTATGCTCGCATGTATGTAATATACGTCGCATGGGTATGTATATATGTCTCTCCGTTTATGCGATTCATACAAAATATTTCCCTAAGTATGTTGTTGTATTTATAAGCAGCACACCGGTCCGGTCTTAGATTGTTGTTAGTCGTTTTTCAAGTTGTGTTGTTCATTTTTTGTGAGTTGTTGTCTTCTTCTCCATTAGCTTCTTTTGGCTTGGGCTATTTAATGCCCCTATGCATGGCTACCGTTGTTACGTCGTCGACTGATTTGCTAATGACCAGTAGCTAAAACGCATCTGCAAATTATTGCGCATCTAGTTATCGCATCTGTTCGATCAAATGTAGATAGGAATGTATCTTGGCGTTTTATCCACAGATGTGTGGTGTAGCTCTTTTTTGTTATAGAAAAAAAAAAACAACTGATTTGTAGGTAGCTCTATGTGTAATGGGAAAAAGAGGTAATGGAAAGTTAGATGACACAGGGAACAAACATCAGATATGTTGTGTGCAACTTATTATGGTATAAGGAAAAATTAGGTTTTTTTTAATAGAGAAACTTAAGGAAAAATTTAAAGTTCAGTTACAAAAAAATTATTTCAGAATACTCACTCCTTAAAAAAATTAAAAGAAAATATGTTTCTTACCTTATTTGTTGTGTTGTTGAAAGTGGTACTCCAAAGTTTTCACTTTATCATTGCTATGTTGAATATCATTTCATTTAAATACAGGATCGAAAATCACACAATTTCAATTTTTATCACAATATCACCAACCAAAGAACTGAGCTGCTTCTGATGATATATATTTGAATTTGAGGAATACTTATTTAAAATTATGATTCAATTGAATTATATATTTTGTATAAAATATTGCTTCGGAATTTCCAGGATTCACTTCTTCACAAATATTGCACTATTATTTTTCACCTATTTTTAATTTTCACTGAAAAGAAAAAAGACGAAAAACTATATAATTAGAAAAAGTATAAATAATATCAATAATGATTACAACAATTATAATAATAATAACAAATATGGAAGGGCTATATATGATACCCTACAACACTCAATATAGTGGTCCCCTTATGTCCAAATCCATTTTGGAAAATTTCGCTTTTGAAATTTGTTGACCCTCTATGGAGTAGGTTACGAAGGAATGTGCCAATAATGTCCATCTCGTATCGGACCTTAATAAATATGATATAAATATTGCAACGTGCCAGGTTTGTTCTATATCGACTACTTCCTTCGCTTTATATGAGATATGTGATAATTTTTAGAAAATGTAAAAATGTGCGTGATATACCAGATATAATTAATCGAAGTATTTCATTTTCATACTTCATCCAGTACAGGTAAAAATATTGGTATGAGCAAAAATTACAAGAAAATCGAACATTTCACTTGTTTCCCAAGTAATGACAGATTAAAAATTGTGACGCTTTTTGCGTGAGATACCAGAAGGGGCTCTCAGGTGTATGCCATCTTCACAAGAGATCTTGTATTAGCAAAATGTTTGTATGTGTGAAATTTGAAGAGAGTTAGGTGCTTATTTCGCTTTCTTTGAGCGTTTTGTTTACCAAAATCTTGAATCCCATGAGGAGGACGAACTTAAAGAAATGATCAGATCTCTACCATTTTTATAACAGAGATTTGTTGATGAAAATATTGAGATATACCAAGTTTGAATAGAATCGGACGTTATTTTCGCGTTTTATGAGCTTCATGGCTATTATGATCGTTTCGGTTATTCAAAACTTCGATCCTTTGTGGGGTAGATACCAGAAGTAATGGTCCGATCTCTACCCTCTTAATAACAGATCTTGTGTATATGGAAATACTGAGATGTGCGAAGCATGAATGGAGTCGGATGTTAATTTCGAGCTTCATGGCTACTTAAAATGTTGGCCCTTTGTGGCAAAGGTACCAGAAGGAGGGGTCCGATATATCATCTTCGCACCAGACCTTGGGATAATAAAAATATTGTGATGTGTGTAATTTGAAGAAAACCGCATGCTTATTTCGGATTTCATGGTTGGTTTGGTTATTCAAAATGTTGACCCACCAGAAGGAATGGTCCGATTTCGACCATCGTTATAACAGATCTTGTGTTGATAGAAATATTGAGATGTACCAAGTCTGAATGGAATCGGATTTTAATTTCGCGTCTTATGAACTTCATGGATATTCACATTTTTGAACCTTTGTGGGGAGGTACCAGAAGGAGCGGACCGATATATCCCATCTATAAACCAGATCTTGAGTTAATAATAATATTGGGGAGTGTGAAACATAAATGGAACCGGATGCTTATTTCGAATTTTATAATCGTTTTGGTAACTCAAAATGTTGACCCTTTTTGGGGGAGGTACTAAAAGGAATGGTGCAATATATTCCATCTTCACACCAAACCTTGGGTTAGTAAAAATATTACGAAGTGTGTAATTATTTATTATTATTCAAAATGTCGACCCTTTGTGAGGGAGGTACTTGATGGAATGGATCGGTGTTGTCCATTTTCGCACCCGACTTAGTACGGATGGAAATATTAGGATTTGCAAAGTTGGAGCAAAATCGGATTAACCTGTCTTTCGACCTTTTCTGGAGGTGGTACCAGAAGGAATGGACCGATATTACCCATATCCGAACTCAATCTAAGTTTGATAATATGTACCAAGTTTGGATTAAAACCGATACTCCTTTCGAGAGTTATCGTACGCACCAGCCCGACAGACGGACGGACGGACATCGCTAGATCGACTGCAAATGTCCTGAAACGAATTTGGCCCAAAGAGACCTAGAGCCTAAAACCGTTATTTCGATGAGGTACGTTTTGGCCGTATCAAATCTTCTCTAGCCATATGGGTATAAAAAGAAAACACGCGTAGCGGCGATTTGAAAGTTTACATCGAAATGTAACCTAAATATAGGGAGGAAAAGTTCCCCCCTCCTCCACACTTTTGGAAATTTATTGGTCAAAATATTCTACTATAGGTCCTAGAAGACATCAAAGGTCTAAATCTTACCTAAGCGCCAAGAATTCATGTATATTGAAAACACATTATAAGCTTAAAAAAGTGTTTTTTTTTTTTTAATTTTTGCAAAAATCTTCAACAAAGCAACATTCTAGGAGGGTGAATTCAAAGACAAAAATATTCTTCATCTAATTTTACTACAAGTCACCAAAGAAAATAAATCTCGTTTTCCACTGTATATCAAAAAAAAAAAAAACAAAAAAATTCCTTAATTTTTGATAAATTTTTCATCGGACTTTTTTCGAGTTGAAGACTGAAAGTGGCAGTAAAGTTCGTTTTAGGCGTAAGGTGTCAAAACAAGAAACATTCTACACAAAATTTCACTAAAAATCTCAAAATAAACCATATATGTAGGTAGAATAGTTTTTAAGAAAATTGCAATCGGAATGTATGTATGTTAGTTTAACAAATTTCCAATTCAGAATCTGCTGTAATAGTGACAAAATGGTTGAAAGCTCTTTCCAAAAGAAGTCGTTGCAACTCGAAATATTCTACAAAATTATTTGTTATACAATTCTACAATACGTCCTAGAAGACGTCAATAGTCTAAATCAAACATTAACGACAGTATTTCATATATATCAAATACACATTTTGATTTAAATCCGAACTTTTTGTGAATTTGTGCAAAAATCTCCAACAAAACATCATTTTAGACGGATGACGTCAAAGCAAAAAATATTCTTTATCAAATTCTACTATAAGTAAAAGAAGAAGAAGAGATATATATGTCCCTTGTATATGCACAAAATGTTTGAATCAATATTTCAAAAAAAAAAAAAAACGGAAATATTCCCTAATCATTTTTAATACATTTTTCTCTGTTCGTTTTTGATTTGATGCATAAATTTTCGTTTTACACAAAAAGCGTCAAAAGAAGAAATATACAGTTCGCTATTCATTATTAGATCCTTCCTTAAAAATTCACTCACTTTTTTATCCTGAGATTTCCATTTCACTTTCAATAAATCATTTGCAAATAAATGCAATTCTATTCCTTATAATTGCTCTATTACAGGCCATGACAGCTGAGGAAAAAAAGTTTATTAATAATGGAATTTTTCTGTTTTTGCACATTTAAAAATTAATTAGCATCAATTATTTAAACAAATGCAACGGTGTCCACCACAAACCGATAGAACGATTGATAATAAACCAAATCTTAAAAAGAAAATTGAAAGCCAAAGACAAAATCATAGAAATAAATTAGAGCGCTCATTAATATTTATTAACAATATTTATTGTTAGTTAAAAAAATTATACATGTGTAGTACTTGGAATTGGAAATCCCTCGTGGATTGCACCCTATAATAGAATAGAAAGAATTACATTCAGTAAGACAGGGTATATGAAGAAAACTCTTTGAAGGGTTTCTGTAACGAAAAATCTGTAAAGGTCTTATATATAGCGAATACCTTCTAAACGTTTAATTTTTCTTGACAAATGGTCATTTATAGGCCTGGGTGAGGCTAAAGGCCGCATGTAGTCTTTATATAGATGTGAGACCTGTTTGAAAGCAATCTAGAGGCATTACTAGGAAGAAAAAAAGAAGGCGCATAGAACAATTTTCGAGATCTTGACACAGACCGAGGATCTGTTGCAGATAATACTCTACAGATATTGAAAACATAGAAGACTATTAGAAGGCCCTAAACAAGTACAGGGTTAGATGAAATAACTGCAAATAACTTCAGACTGCTGTCATTTCTAAGCTACTCGTCCGACAGCTGTTAAAATTATTCCAGTGACCGCTTATTATATTGTTTACAAGCATACAGAAGCATTATGGTAAGAATTTTCCAGAAAAAAAGTTAATCGTGATGAAATTCAAGCGTGATAATGTAATTTCTTTATATTTGGCTGGAAAACCACAAGTAGCTATCGTTAGAGCACTCCAGCATTTAAATGTGAATAAATCTTGTGTGTCTCGTATCATCGCTCGTTACAAAAGAGCTAAAGACTTGCTTTGCTTGGCCGAAAGTGGTGAACTACCTAAATTGGCTTTCTCCGATGAGAAAACAATCGTTGTCCAGCAGCTTGTAAACAAACAAAATGATCGTGCTTACTTGCCAAAGAGGTCACCTAAAAATGTGCACCTTCGGTTGGCCACCATAACTCAAGCGCCGGCCATGGTGATGGTGTGGGCCGCCATAACAGCGTATGGTCCCTCTCCGCTCGTATTAATCGACCGTGGCATAAAAATAAATGCGGAATAATATCGCGAAAATATTCTGAAGGGTGTATTAAAGCCAGTTTGGCCGCATACCTTGGACATTCCAATAGGATTCAGCACCATAGCACTCAGCACGCGCCACCCAAGAATGGTTACAAAATGGGGTTTCTCGCTTCATTTCCAGCGCACAATGGCCACCAAAATCTCCGGATACCAATCCGTTGGACTATTTTGTCTGGAGTATTTTGGAAAGCAAGGTTGGCACTAAACAAGTAAAAAAAAACATTAAGTTCGGCCGGGCCAAACTTTTAATATCCTCCACCTTAGGGTAAAAGAAACATTAGAAGAAATGAGGTAAAAACCAAATATCGGGAGGTATCGTTATATGGGGGCTATACCAAATCCTACACATGCAATGTTTTGCCAAAGGAGCTAGAACCCATTATGACCTAGAAATACCAATTTTCAGACAAATCCGTGAAAAAATGTTGCAAATATCATCACATTACCGAATATCGGGAGGTACCGTTATATGGGGGCTATACCAAAGCGTGGACCTATAATTACAATGACTCGCCACACGAACTGGGACCCATTATGATCTACAACTACCAATTTTCAGAGAAATTCTTGAAAAAATGTGTCAAAAATCATCAAAATACCGAATATTGGGTGGTACCGTTATATGGGGACTATATCGAAACGTGGACCTATACATACAATGTTTTGCCACAC